GTCCCCCCACTCCCCCTCGCACTGGAGCCCATCCTATACCTACAAGGGAGTCTCTCCCCTGCTTGAGTCCGCTTCGCCCCTGTACGGAAGTCTATTTCTTCTCCCGGTGTCCTGCTCCTTCCTGCGAGACTGGACCCTCGTTAGGCTACCGGTGTGTGTGCCTAGATTTTCCTTGAGATTGTATGAAGTTGTGTTTCCTTCTTCCTGTATAGGGTCTCAGCGGGGCTGCCCTAGGGGTTAGGGGAGAACAAGGGCTTTTAGCTGGAAACTTCGACATGTTCACCTTTGCCTTCTGTTGCCACTCATGCCCCGCCCTGGTGGGGGTGGGGCAGCTGCCAATCCCAAATATTTCCCACTTGGGTCCCCCAAAACCCTGAATTTTGGTTTGAGGGTATGGTTCTCTGAGCATGTGGCCCAGCCTGTTGATAAGGAAGGCTAAACAGAGTCCCTCGTAAGCCTGAGGGCCGAGCCAGGACAGCCCTGCTGGGCTAGGGCAGTCACCCTTAGCTCCAGAGGGGCTGTCCTGGCCCTGCCTAGGCATGGCTTTCCATGGTGGGTATAGAGTGTCTCTGCTTCATTTCCTCACACGTGGAAGGAGTTGCTGAAGCTGGCTTGTGGAGGAGCCAGGTCCACTTTGGGTTTTGTGAGAGTGCAGAGGAGAGCTGGGGCCCTGCCCAGTAGTCACTGGGGTTGCCAGTGTGAACTTCCACTCAGCCTCTCTTTAAGCTACTGTGGAAAATAGCCATGCTCGGGGTTGCCTCATCCTGCAGAGTACTAAGGAGTCATTCTGAAAGTTTGCAGGGACACAGATACAGGACCAACCTAAAAGTGCATTTGTGAGACCTCACTAGCATGAAGCAGGGGAGCCTCCAGCACAGATCTGTAAATTGGGGCTCGGGTTTCCACATGAGCCAGTGGAGCTTTTGGTCTCTGTTTACTTCGGAGGGAACCACTGTAAGCCACAGAAAGGAGCAAATATTTTCAATCTGGTGCCTAGCAATTTGCTGTGATCCATGCATTTCTTTTCTACCTTGTGAGTAAGTGCATCTAGGGAGAACCAGTTTTCTGTCTTCAGGGTTGTGGTTTTCTGGCTGAGAGTGGTGGGCAAGTGGGCAGTCCTCCTGCAAGGGCTCTTTCTGGGAGGTCCTGGATCTCACTGGCACTGCATCACACTGTCTCTCGGGATCCCAGGGCTCTTCCAAGGTGCTATAGGACTTCTCCAGATATTTCACTGAAATGTTGAGTCTTGCGATACTTCCAGCTACTGAAGGATATGTGATCAAACATAACCATGTGTGTTCTATGGAAAGCCTCCTGTTGAGAGGCATTGAATTTAGGGAGGCTTGACCTCGTGCACAGCGTCTTACGAGGCACATGACAAAGGTGCTTTTGGTGAGGAGACCTGCTCAGGAAGAACAGGACAGTTGCTTGCCAGTGAAGCCGCGCAGCCAGCTGGAGGCCGACGGCGGTGCCCTGCCTTCTGGGTACCTCCAATAGGGCATGGTGTATTTGTGAAGTGCTGGCATGTGTAGGTGCTAGGGGTGAGTTCTACCCAGATCTGAGTGCATGGGGCCAGCTGCTGGGCATATGCTGGAGCTAAGGCCAGGCCACCCGGGTCCCTGTCACTGTGGCACATGGACTTGCCCTGAGAATGCTTGTGGTGCTGTAAGCACCACACTTGTAGCCCACGGTGCTTCACGGTGCATTCACTGGGTTCGCCATCATCTCTGGGGGACAGCAAAGGGCACCATCAGTCCTGCCTGTGAGTCACCATGAGTGTGGGTAGTGAAGATTCCCTGGAAGGATTGAGGCTTTGGAGGAGGTGGCGGGCCCCTGGACCCAGGTTGCTGTTTTCCTGTGATGGGACTTTGCAGCCCAAGTCATGGAATCAGATACTCTGGAGTATGAAATGGCACCCACTGTTGCGGTCCCCAAGTGCAATGAGGAAACAGCCTGAGAGTGGGCACTGCATTCAGGGTCACAGGACAATGTGGGTTTCCCTAAGACTGCCCTCTCCCAATGGTCATTGCATCAAAAAATGTGACCTGTTGTTCTCTGAGGAAGAGGGAAGCTGGCAGAGACCCCCCAGAGCCTTCCTGGGGCATGGCAGGAGGGTCTGTGGCTGCGTGCTCACCAGCTGAGCACAGAACTGTCATGCCGTTGCCCACTCTAGAAATTAAACAGAAGTACCAGGACACTGTGCTGTGATGGGGAGTGGTGCAGGGACAGGCCTCCAGGGACCATCACAGCCCTTTGTGCAGTGGCTCCAAGCAGTAAGGGATTCTTTTTTTTAAAAAAAATATATTATTTAGTTTTAGGTGGACACAATATCTTTATTTTATTTTTATGTTGGTTGAGGATCAAACCCAGGGCCCCGCTCATGCCAGGCAAGCACACTACTGCTTGAGTCACATCCCAGCCTGAGTAAGGGATTCTTTAAAGCACCCCATGAGAGGATGTTGAGGAAATGACCAGTGCAGAGCCTCTGAAACCCCTGCCATGGGCTCCTGGAACCTGTGGCAGTGCGGTGTTTGCTAAGGCTGCCTGGAGGCGGGAGGATGCATGGCCTCACCCTGCTGCCAGGTGCTGTGCAGAGGCTAGATACACACTTGTGTTCCCTGGGCTGGACTCAGGTGGACTGTCCCCCTGCTAAGGATAGTTGCACCCATGTGCAGGACTCATGTGGGTAAGATTTCTTTAAAAACCTGGTGTAAAGGCTCCAGGCCTGGCTGGGGCCAGATGCAGTGTGCGTGGGTTTGCCTGCCTGCTGCACTGCCCTGGGGAATGCAGTATGCGGGAAGCCTGTCAGGTGCATCCTGGGCAGCTGCTCTGGTGTCCTTGCATGTGCAGCAGATGACTCCACAGCAGGTGAGGTGAGTCTACATAGCACTGGGCAGAGCCAGGGCTTGTCAGCCCTCTACTAAGGGAAATCTGGTGGGCCTGAGACTACCTTGATTGTTGAACTTTAACATTTCTTTGGAAGATTTAAGAGAAAAGTGGAACCAAAAGTATCCCTGTTCTTGCTTGCTGAGTCTGCTATGTGAGTCCTCAGGAGGCAGGTGCTGTTCCTCCTCTCCAGGCCTGGTGGTGGGGGGCATGTGCTGCACGGCTTCCACGGCTTCCTCCCTAGGTGGACAGGCATGGGCTCTCTCTCATGGTACCAAAGCAGCAAGGTTCTTTCCAGTCATATAACCTGGGGTCTGAGGCTATGAGTGCTGCCGTGAAGGTGTGGTCTCTGGGGATGAACTCAGACTTGGGGTTCAAGTTGAGGCAGCTGGGCTTCCATGTGAGTAGTAGTGCAGCCTTCAGCTCTGTGGGGTCACCCTCCTGACAGGCACTGGGGCAGTTAGAAGCCGTGCTTCCAGGGCTTGCTCCCACTCACATCCCTGTGTGTGGCCTTTTTCTCCCAGCCGTGGCATTCCTGGTGGCTTTGCAACAGAACAAGCAGCTGATTGGTGACCAAGGCCTGCTGCCCTGCAGGGCATACCTGAAGAGCGTGCAGCAGTACTTCCGAGGACGGGGTGCCTGGGATGCCTGGAGCTATGCACCCACCATCATCTGGCTGCTGGATTGGTCAAACATGGACTTCAACCTGGACCTGCTGGCTCTGCTTGGATTGGGCATCTCGAGCTTTGTCCTGATAACTGGCTGTGCCAACATGATCCTCATGGCTGCTCTCTGGGGTCTCTACCTGTCCTTGGTCAACGTGGGACAAGTCTGGTGAGTAGAGCTAGGGCACAGGCAGTGCCAGGCCTGTTACTACACCAAGTGGATGGAGCACCCTGCACATACTCCTCAGGGCTCTTGGTAACTGGAGGGAGCATGAGTCTTCTTAAATCAACCCAGAGGAGCGTCATGGTCACTTAGGAGGTGGTAGGGGCTGCTGATTGCCACTGGGCAGGGCCTTTCTGCTTGTAGAGGTATGTCCCTACTTGGGACTACATTTCCTGCCTGCTCGAGCCATGGCAGATGGGAAACGTGGAGGCAGAGTCGCTGATGGGCTGCTGCACGTGTGCTGAGGGACAGGGCCTGGCTCAAGGCATCCTCCTTCCTCCCCTCCCTGCACTAAAGGAGCCACTCAGCCAGCAGCAGGCACTGTTGGAATCACAGATTGGCCCTGTCCCTGATCCTAGTGTGGGTTCTGGAACTGTGAAGATGGGGGCGCTGGACTTGTAAAGGCCAAAGTCCTGTGGACCACAGATGGACAGGCAGCTCTGAGTGTGGGACAGTGTCTCCTGGACATGTGGGAGGTAGACCTGGGTACCTGTGTAGAGATGTAGCCTGTGAAGGACTTCTGGGGCTCCTTGCAGTGTTCCATTAGGAGCTGTGGGATTTGGCACTGGGGGCCATCTGCAGAGCTGACTTGGCAACTTCCCTGTGACTTCGCCAGGTTATCTTGGTGTACTCCAGGCTCCTTCCCAGGGTCTGGGCCTCCCCTCTCATCATGGGCTTTTCTGGCCCCTGTGCCCTGTGGGTGTGTCAAAGACTTTGCAGGCTGGCACCAGCCTCAGGCTTGAAGGCAGCCCTCCTGAGCCAGATTGCAGAAGAGCAGGCATGGCCCCTGCTGCTTGCCACGGGCCTGGTGTCCAAGTGCCACGTCGCCACACTGGCCAGAGCTCTGTCCTCTAGTGAAGGAACTTGGGGCCATTCTAGTTTGTCCACAAGCCGTGCAGATCAGGATGCTAAGCTGTGTACTGTCCAAAGGAGAACCAAGGGGCTTATTGCAGCTGTGGCTCTGGCCCAGGCATACTTTATTAGACCTTCTCAGGGGTCACGGAGTGGCCAGGGACGTGTCACAGTGCATACATATGGAAACTGTTATTTCCTGGACAGGACTTAATCTGATCTGTCACGTTTTTGATTGAAGGGTGAGGATAGACACAGGTTCTCATACAGCCCCTTGGTGGATGCACAGTCCAGCAGCTGCCTACCCTGTCCAGGCCCTCTGGCTGCCCCAGATGAACATCTGTGTGCAGAGTACTGTGAGCTGAGGGGAGCTTGCCTTGCCCATCTGCTTTCCCCAGGCAGGATCCCAGGCTGCTGCCCACTAGGTGACTGACCTTTCCTGTCTTCTGGTGGTGACAGTTGACAAGCATATGGTGATTCTGGCTGCATTTTTCTGTGACATCCTGGAGGCTGTTGTGACTGACACATCGTGATTTTAATCCAAACCAGAGGAGGGAGAACTTCAGGTAGCTGTGCCTGATTGCAGCAATTGGAGTTAAAAAAACAAAACAGCCAGGAGCCCCTGTGGTGTATACATGTTGGCGACTCTCTCGTCCTGTGAGTGCCTAGGGCCTTGGGGAATCCTCAGCCAGGAGAGTATGCTGTTTTGCTTTGAAAGGTGCTTTTTACTGATCTGTGATGTGTTGGTCAGGAAAGATCCACTCAACGTTTAAATGTTTGGAAACCACCTTGAGGACTTGTGGAAGTTTAAATGTTTGAAAACCACTTGAGGACTTATGGCCAAGAGCAGACTTGTGTTTTTTTTATTTGGAAAGAGGTTCTGTCCCCTCCTGTGGGTATGTTGAAATGAGAGATGCCCTCCCTGCAGCCTGGACCCTGGCTTCCCCGACAGTGGCAGTTTGGGGTAGCTGTGCTGGGGGAAAGAGCCCGGGGCTGTGTGAGGGAGGCTGGACCTGCCAGGCAGAGAGGCTGTCCTGAGGGCCAGGACAGCAGTCGGACAGTCGGTTCCTTCGTGCCTCACTGATTTTGTTGAAGAAAAGAGCATTCATTTGGGTCTGGGCCACTCAGACAATGTGCACGCTGGTAGCTGTGGCCCTGGCAGGTACATGTCATGCTCCCCCAAGAGTGGCTGCTGCCTGGGACCAAGCACGGGTAGTGGAAAGATGTGTCCATTCATCTAGCGTGCCACTGTTAGGAACAACGCCTGACACGGCTGCCTTGACCTGTCTCCCTGCTGTGCTGTGAGCTGCCAGTGCTCCCCTTGGAGTCCTGTCCTGTCCCCTCTCATGGTGACCTGTCACCTCCCTGGTTACACCAGGGCCCGTGACCAAGCCCCACCTCAGGAGGGAGCATTGGCCGTCAGCCTCTGGAACCTGCTGCAGCTGCTGAGTGTCGTCATGGGACATGTCTCCCTGGTGGCTCCCTGGACGCCGCTTTTCGTTTCCTACAGGGAACAAGAGGCTGTTCGACCCCCTGATGTTGCCAGAGCAGTTTTGGATCCAGAGTTTTGTGAAAGCAGCCCCCTTCCCCCTTACTCGTGTCTTGTATCAGTGTGGACATACTTTTGGGAATTGATGTCCACTTGATTCACATCTCCCTGGTTTTCCTAGCCTGGGACCCCATCCAGGACCCCAGGGAACACATAGGCTCTGAGGTTCTTCTCAGACTTCCCTCGTTTCTGATGCTGGGATGGTTTGGGGAGCCCCTCCACTGGGACTGGCCTGTGGTTACCCATGGCTGGACAGGAGCTGGGCTTGGGAGGGAGACTCGGGAGGTGCCTGCATGTACCCAGCAGATGACTTTCCCCTGTCCTCCTGTGCCCAGGGCAGGACCCCACAGCAGGACTCTGCACAGGGTGCTACCTCTGGTCCCCCTGGATCTGCTCAGCCATTGGTTTTATCAGCATGGACTGACACATACTTGCTTTGTACCCTGGGTGTCCAGGCTAGGAAGGTAAACATTTAGGATTGGTGGCATAAGACAGAGAAAAGTTTAATAACTTTTGACTACATAAACTTTTAAGTGATTTTAAAGAACAATCCAACCCTGTCAAAACTGGCCTTTCTTGCCAGGTGCCTTGGTACACATCTGCCATCCCAGAGGTCGCAGAGCCTGAAGCAGGGGCTTCACAAGTTCCAGGCCAGCCTGGGAAGCTCAGTGAGACCCTGTCTCAAAATATTAAAAGGGCCACGATGTGACGTGACTCCAGGTAGAGCATCTCAGTGCCACCAGGGAAAAAGATTGTGGCTTTCCTAAAGCCATGTGCCCCAGCTCTGGTTGCCTAATTGAAACTGGTTTCTTTGTTGACTCGACTTTTCTTAAATGTGGGGTTTCTGGTTCTTTTATCTGTACTTTGCTTTGGCACTGACCCCAAAGTGTTTCTTTGTTGCTATTCAGGATGACACACAGCTCTTCTGTCCTCCACTTCCCAGCCCCTCCTGAGGAAGGAAAGATCCTTTCAGGAAATATGGGACAAGCCAAGTGTCTCAGGGGTCCTCTTCCTCTTTGGCACTTTTTTCCCTGCAAAGGGATGGAGAAGCCTCTTCAAAGGGTGTACGGGGCAGAGGCTCCTGGTCATTTCCTGCTTCTGAGCCACCTGGAGGAGTGGGGGGAGTCTCAGTCGGATATGTGGACTCCTGCGTCTGGCTTTGCTTTTGGAAGTCATGGAGAGCCATGGGGGCTGCCTCTAGGGCAGCTCTTCACATCTCTAACTCGAGGACCACCAGGGGACCAAGCTGCCCCACGTCCTGCAGCTTGGCACAGCCAGCTCCAAGCTGCTGACCCAGGTTTCTTTGTGACAAGTAGGCTCAAGGATGCCGCCCACGTCCTTTTGTTCTCTGTGCATTTATTTCACTTTGTGTGTGTGTGTGTGTGTGTGTGTGTTTTGTATGTGCTGAAGATTGACTCTAGGGCCTCCTGAATGCTAGGCAAATGCTCTGTATGGAGCTGCATCGCTAGTCCTTTTTATTTTGACACAGACCTCGCTGAGATGCTGAGGCTGGCCTTGAACTGGATCCTCCTGCCTCAGTCTCTCCAGTAGCTAGGATCACAGGCATGATTGCCACACCCATCTTAAAACTTCTGTCACCTCAGAAGCAGCCTGTATCTGGCAGCTGTCCCCCCATGCCCTCCCCAGCCTGTGACTACTGGCCGCTGTCTGTGGATCTGGCTGTCTGGACCCTCACACAGACAAGGGCCTAAGCGTGTGGCCTTGTGTCTGCTTTATCTCCACACCCTTCTCAGTTGCAGCATGTGGTTCGTCTTTCCTTCTGCTGGCTGGAGGTACTTGTGTGTTAAAGATGGCAAGGGGATTTCACTCCTGATCCGAGGCAGGTTTTCTGGGTAGGGGCTAGGTGGACTCTTCTGAGGCAAGCGTGAGGTGTCTGGTCAAGCCCAGGCCCAGTCTGCCTCCAGCATACCGTGGGGACGTCACTATGTGGTTTGGGATCCTCACATGTGTTGGCTGTGCCGCCTTGGAACACTAGCCACTGCCTGCCACAGCTGTGCAGGAAAGTGGGCCTTTCTCAGGTCCTGGCAATGGATCAGAGCCCGCCGGGTGCCTGAAGCCCCAGGCTCCGGTGTCCTATGTTTGAGGTGGGTGCCCTCTGAGCCCGCAGGCTCCAGAGTGTGGCATTTTCTGTAGTGCTGTGCTTGTGAAGATCCCAGCCTTCCTCCTGCTCCTGCCCACAGCAGCTTCTGGCCACACTGGCCTGGGGCCCGCCCTGCATGGGCTCTGTGGACAGTGTCTATTTGACCACCCAGTCCTGGACCAGGTCCTCCTGACAGCACCGACCCTCCTGGCCTGGGCTTGTGGGTGGGCTTCCTTAGTGGGAAACACAGAGGTTAATCTTATAAATTTGGGGTCAAAGTGAGCCAATTAAACTGAATACAGTTTTTTTCTTTTGTTTTTCAGGTATTCTTTTGGTAAGTGAGATGATTTAGGGAAGGACTGCGGGGGCTTGTTATACGTTGGGGTATGTATCTTTACACACTCTCCCTGGCTTTTCTCTTTGCTTGAGCATCTTCCACCAGCTCTTCCGGTGTGCTGGGTGGCTTGGGTGCAGCCTCTGTTGTCCAACATGGAGTCCTAACCAGGCAGCCCTTGCCCCAGACCATGGCTGGTGAGGTATGGGAGCTCGTGGGCTTCCAGGTGCTCCGACCTGGCCAGCATCCCCTTCTCTGGGCCCTTGAGCCTAGCGTCCACCTCTGCGTGTGGCACTGATGCTGGTTTGTGCATTGCGTGGGAAGGGGATCCTGGGTCCCCAGGCCATGCTGGGTGGAGCCCCTGGAGTGGGGCAGAGGGCAGCCCAGGTGGACAGGCTGGCCATGGACAACAGGTATTTTCTCAGTGGGCTCACAGTGGGTTTCTAAGTCGACCTGCACCCCAGCCTTCAGGGAAAGTGAGAGGCAGGTTTTCATTCCACACCTTGTCATCTGTGGTCCTGTGCCAGCGCCCTGACCCTGCCTGGGCCTCACCCATTTCTTAGCACAAATAGCACCTGTCCCCCAGGGAATGGGCCAGCCAGAACATGGAAGCTCCAGGATATCCACGTTTGCTCTTGGTTATCTGGCATTAGAATCCCCCTCAGAATCCTTCACATGCCCACACTTAGGTTGACAAACCCTTAGTACATTTACTTGCTTAAAATTGTGAGAGTACTGTTTTCCAGCTGTCACGAGGACTGGACTTTAGGGCCTAGAGATCTTTATTAGGGTGGGGATGCCTGCTCCTTGGTGCAGTGAGTTCCAAGTTTGTGAGGCAGAGCAAGCGCACACTGTGGAGACTGGGTGCACTGATGGCTTGAGTAGACTGGTAGTCCCTGCGTTTTCAGGCCTGTGAGGTGGCCAGGCTGTCCCTGCCTTGGATCCCAAGGCGTAGGCCAGCAGTAGTGGGGATTGGCCTCACACCCAGGTTTTCCAGTATAGAACTACTCACTGAGTCCACGCTTCTGATAAAAGGGGCCTTGTAGGTGGCGGGACCTGAGGCTCTGTGGGCCGGATCCTGACAGAGCTCGCCAGGGCACTGGGCTCCTTGGTGCTCCACACCAGAACAGCTGCCTGTTCCTGCTGCTGTTGACATTGTCTGCGTTGGTTACACTTGTCTTCAGCATCTAACGACCTTGGGCTCAGAAGCAATTGACTGTTGTCATGCTGCCTCTGACGGTCCCTGAGGGAGAGGACTTTCATCTCTCTGTGGTCACATTCCAATGACGGCAAACAGAGACACGGGCATGAGGCTCACTGCAGCCCTTACACCTCAGCACAGCCCCCTACTTGCCGTCGAGAGCACAGCAGAGGGGTGGGTGGGTCCGAGGCCGGGCACACTGTTCCAGTCTTTCCTCTGGCCTTGCTGAGGTCCCCTGCAGGACTTGTTTTCACAGTGAGCCCCTGGTCACATCAGGCTTATGTGTCATCTTAGTTACTCTGAGCGTGTCTGCCTTGTGTGTCTGTGGTGAGCCTGGAGCTGCCTGCACAGACTGTGCCAGGGCCACACCCCTCAGGAGCTGGTGGCTCGGCAGGAGCCCCACTTCCAGAGCCTCAGGACTGTGGCACCCTTTGGCCACGTGCGTTTCTGAGGTCAGCTTCCCTGACTTCAACGGGGATGCTGGTTCTCAGGTGCACAGTTGCCCTCGGCATGCCAGCAGCTGCACAGGGCCAGTTAGGCCTCCTCAGGCTGCAGAAGGGTCTGCCCAGTGCCACTCGGAGCAGCCATTCCTCTAGCCAACCTCCAAGGGCTACAGGTGACACCTGGGCTCACAGGATACCAGTGCACCCAGCCACCCTGCCGTGCCTCCCTGGACAGTGAGGCCTACTGGTGTCCTCCTGTCTCAGATGACCACGTTTCCCAGAACTGTGGCCTCCCTGGATGGCGAGGCTGCTGGTGCCCTCCTGTCTCAAATGACCCTGTTCCCCAGAACTTGTGCTCCTGCTGGCATCTTCAGCTGTCCTAGGTGGTCCCTCTCCATCGTGGTAGCCAGGGGTCCTCCTGGTCGGCAGCCGCACTCCCAGCAGGTCCCCAGGTCTCATTCTCCTAGAAGGAGAATGTGTAGGCAGATGTGGTCACCCAGCAAGTGCAGCTGTGTGAGTGGGGCCATTCCCAAGACACAGGAAAGCCACACTGATTGCCACCGGCTCTCCATCCGCATCTCTATTGAAAGCTGGCCTTGATGAACTCTGAAGGCCTCTGTGTTGGTAATGTGCTCTTCCAAGGCCGAGTCTGAGGGGTCACTTGGTGCCCCGTGGGTGCTGGGTGCATCTTGCCCCTGCAGCAGTGGGCTTCTTGAGGCTCCTGTGTGGGCCAGTTGCACTTTAGGGACTCTTTCTGCCCTGGTGGCCACCAGCTGACTTCTAGGCTTGGCAGGCACCCTCCCCAAGTGCACCAGCCCCTACGGTCCATTCCTCCTGGGCCTCCTGGCCCTGCCTGGCCCTGAGCGGCTCACACATGCAGAGGACTGCAGCTGCTTCCAAGCGAGTCTTTGGTGCCCCCAAGGCTTCTGCAGAGTTACACCCAGGCCTGGGTTGTGGAGGGCAAGGGACAGTAGGCTGGTCCCTCTGGGGATGTGATAGGCAGGGCACACTTGTGATGAGGGCCTGCTACCAACATGCCTCCTGATGGGCCCAGGAGGTCCTGAGGGCAGTGGTGAGGTCAGTGTACATGCTGACTGGGCAGCCCAGGCCTCGCCAGGTCCTGGGCCTTGGCAGACAGTCCCCGGGGGAGAGCAGTGCTTTTCCCGAGGATTTGGAGTGCTTTAGGCTCCAAAACATTTTGTGAGTTCTTTGATGGTGGTTTTTGTTTTGGTGGACTTGGGTATGTGTAGGCATAGACCTCCAGGTGTCCTCTCAGGGGTCATGAGATATGGACTGGCCTTGCAGAGAGCAGACTCTGGGCTGGTCATGGGGCAGGAGGCGGGCGCGAAGGGGTGTCTAGCAGGGCAGTTTTGGAGAGCCAGGCTGGAGATGCCCCTGAGATTGGGGCTGGGTGCCCCTCGCCAGCACCAAGGGCCAGGCATGCTCCAGGATGGAGGCTGTGGCAGCAGAGGTCGGACGGCCAAGTCCTGGGTGGCCTGTGCGCTGTGAGCTCTGTTCAGGAGGTGCCTTCTCTTCTCTCCTGCAGACCCGTGATGGGAACTAGACACTGAAGAGTCTGGAGGAACTTGGATAGCAAGGCCTACCATACCCCTGGCTGCCACACACAGCCTCAGAGCAGAAACAGGCAGGCAGTGTCCGTGGCATCTGTCCTGATGGCACTGCAGTGAGCTGTGGACACGTGGGGCCAGGTGAGGGGGCACCGTCCACATAACAGGCACAAGGACTGCATCTTAGCCTAAAATAAGCAACCAGCGTGGCCATAGGCTGGGGATGGGGACCAAGTGGCACTCCAGGCTGGCATTTCTCTGTGGCTGGCTCATGGTGGGCCCACACTCCCCTGCAGGGCACAGGGCTAGGCTTCCCTCTGCCCTTTGCTGCTTCATTTGGAGCATTTCCGTGTGCACGTGGCCCTTAGTGGTGTGGGGGCGCCTTTCTTGGCTGAGTGAGCAATTCCCCCGCATTGTTAGTCTGCTTTCTGGGCTTTGCTTGGTGGCCCAGGCTGCATGGGATGCTCATGTGACTGAGACCCTGGAACTCGGGTGTTCCCGTCACAGCAGCACCTCCCGCCAGCTGTTGTGAGTTAGGAGTTACATGCTCCACATGAACCACCACCCTGGCCACTCCTGGATCCATGCTTTAAAACAGCTTAATGAGGGGTTTACTGCCCACCTCCAGGTTCTCATTAAGACTGTCAGTGCTGCAGCAGAGCTTGCCTGCAGGAAGCCACAGGCTTGATCCAGTGGGTTCCAGGCCTGCCCCAACACTGCGCTCCACGGGGTTCTCGTATGCTCTGCTGTGGTCCACGGTTCATCCGATTACTCCAGCCCCATGATCGAGAGACAGTCCCTTTAGTTAAAGAATTCTTGCATCAGAGGAGCCAGAGCTGCCAGTCATGAGCCTGCACAGCTGCCAGACTGCCACGTCCTACTGACCCCACGCTGCCTTCTTGGGCCTTTTGCTGCATCCCTGTGGGTTTAACCATTTGGCATGTTGCGGGGCGTAGTGGGAGAGGTGCCCTCACAGAGCCAGCTCCTAGAAGCATCATTATAGATTGACTGGGAACAGATGGCCATCAGCAATGGCTGCATTCTCCCTGGGATCACGGAGGAGCCTTCCTGTCCTCCCTGGGATTGCAGCAGAGCCAGGTGCAGTCCACAGGCTGTGGACTGGCAGCAGCATGGTATGAGGCCAGCATTCACTGCTGCCTAGTGGGGACAATTGCATTTCCCTCGTGTTCTCTCTTTGCTTGGTCATGTCTGGTAAAAATGGCTCAGTCTAACCTAGAAGAAAAGGGATGGTAGAGTCTTTCCCTTGTCCACAGGGTCATTACCATTTTGCTTGCTCTGGCCTCTACCACGGTGTCAGTTTTCCATATCTGGTTCTAAAGTGTGGTGCTTCCTGTTTTTTTGGTACCAGGGATTAACCCAGGGCCACTTGATCCCCAGGCCATATCCCCAGCCCTTTTTATGTTTTATTTTGAGACAGGGCCTCACTAAGATGCTTAGGACTTTGCTGAGTTGCTGAGTTGCACACTGTCTGTCTGTGCTTCCGTCTTAAGGATCCTAGAGCACCAAGTGCATCCTTGCCGTGCTTCCTGCTCACCGGTCGTGGACGCACTTCCGGAGCTCTTCCAGCTTGCTCTTGGTTTCACTTAGGCTGAGTCATGCCGTCGTGGAGCAGCAGGCTGCCATGGACTTGGATCCACAGCATCACCCTGACACCAGCACTCCACTGCCAGGGTCTCCTGGATGTGGCACCTGGCGTTGAGGCAGGGTCCATCCCCACCCCTTCTCCGTGTTCTGCTTCCAGTGCCCTGCAGTGAGGGTCTGTCTGAC